TTAAGAAGGGCTTTAATCTTAATTATTACTTTATTCCTTTATTTTTCTACTTAATCTATGAAGGTAATGCTTAACTTTTTAAACTTTCTTTTACAACTTTGTACGTAAGTTTTTTGTACCCAGGTACGTTGTATGGCACTGTGTGTGGTGACATTATACACTCTTCCCTGTACTCCCCTACTTGAATGCATGACAATAAAATCTAAATCTAAAAAAAATTACACGAAAGGTTTGAATTATTTAGAAGAAAACATACTGTTGGAGTTTTGCTTTTACTCACACTCACTCAATTAAATAAATAAATAAATAAATCTAGAAAACAGATATTTGAATCATTCATATCCTTAAAAGAATGGTTGGGATGATACCGATCAAAATATGAATAATTAATCTTATAACCTGCAAGACTAGATTTTTAAAAATCATAAACATAACAGTAAATTCCAGCTCTATATGTCTACCAATTGCTAAAGAATGCTGATATTGACAGTCACACCTACATATTTGCAAATGTCATCACATGATTCATTTGTGAAATCTCAGAAACATATCAAGCTTCACACTAACTTGACATAACATTAATTCTTTTTTTTAAAATTAAAAAAAACATAGTCAATTTAAAACCTGTGCTTCATTTTGTTAGTACTCAGCTATCCAGATTGCAAACATGCCAACTTATTAAGTGAACAAGATGCGGGGCTAATTCGTTCAACTTTGTTAAAAAAAAAGTCTTTTTAGAGCGTATTCTTGACTGGATAGGGTTTCGGTCACAATTACATACACATACCAACCATTATCAAGAGGGTTTTTGAAAGCTTATATCAGTATGTGATCTTTGCAGAAAATTGTTATTATACAGCATGCAAACTTACTACGGAACTAGAGAAGTGAAAGAAACGACAACAAAACAGCAACTGAATCAGGAACAATACAGTTGACCGCAAAAGATCTATACATTAAATAATCGAACAAATCATATCCACTAAAATATTTCACTGGGGGAGAACGGAACAAAGTACAAGATGTCAAATGCACCTTCGCCAGAGGGAAAATCAATGATCAGATAATGCTATCACTGAAAGTGAAACCAATCTGCATGCTGCTCAGTACTCAGAACGCAAGTCTCTTCCGCTATTTTAGAGGCTCTACTTCCTGAAAGGGGAACAATCAGTGTTGGAATTGGCTATTTCCCGAAAGATGGCTCTTGGATGTCGTTCCATTTTAGTCGTTACTAAATTGCGAAATACTGCAATCTTGTTTATTTAAAAGATACGCCAAACTCATCTGTGCCGTCGCGTTAAAACTACATGCTGGCTGCCTAATCCTCAAATACTAAGATGGAGAATCGATTGCATTGTTTTCCCAACTCCTCCAGTTTTACACTAAAATCTGTAACGATGTTTTTGCTCTCGAAACACGGGTTAGCAATTTAATAACTTACAAGGCTTCTTGGCGTCCTTGATCTTCATATTGCTATTTCGACAGACCCGCGGACTTTTTGACTGTAGCTCGGCTCAGCCTCTCTTCCCTTTTTTTGCCCAGAATGCGGAGGTTGAACACGATCAGCAGAGGGGCGGCGGCAGGAGGAGGAGGAGGAAGAGTCAGAGTCGCGATCGGTGCACTGCAACCCGGCGATGAATCGGTAAAGTGTCGTCGGAAGGAGCAGTCGCCCTGTCAGCACCACCGATCTTCCACTCCTCTCGATGTGGCAGCCGCCGTTCAAAAAATACGGCGCTCAGTCCAAGGCAGAATCCAGGGACGGCGGGTAAATGGAAGGAGCAGCAATTCAGGGAGAAGGCAAGATGCAGGTCATGGACTCAACGTCTCATATTCTGTCCTCATCACCTGTCGTCTCCTCCTCCTGCTGCAGCAGCAGCTGATTGTGATACCGCCCACATGGGCGCGGCTCGAGCTGCGTAAAAAAAAATTCACTACTACTCCGGTACCGAGTGACATTCGATTGAAATCTTACTAAATTCCGCGTGACTTGACTGAGGCGCTCCCTGGGCAATGTAGTTTTCCACTCAATATCGGACTCGCTGCTCAGCCCAAAATGTGAACTACAAATCCCAGGTGGCGAGATAACACAGTATGAGTTTGAAGAAACGTCAACTTTCCTGCTCATCTGATGCTGCCTAGCTTGCTATGTTCCTCCAGCTCCACACTATTATCTCTGACTCCAGCATCTACAGTTCTTACTATCTCTGAATGAGTTACAATCCCCGGTGGTGTCGCGACACTTCTCGTCCACCCCAGACAACGGGGCTCGCTTAGAATGGCAGACCTTGAACTCGCAGGGAGGCGGGACGAAGGGAAAGCAAACGATAGAGACAGGGGAATTTCGTGGTGGAACGCTCTGGTTAAGGATATTGTGTACCCTCTCGGAAACTATCCAAAGGGTCCCAACCTGAATCGTCGTGAAGAAGGGTAATACCCGAAACGTTGACTGCTCATTTTCTCCAGGTGCTGCCTGGCCTGCTGTGTTCTTCCAGCCTCTTGTTTGTCTATTTTGGATCCCAGCATCTGCAGTTTTTTTTTTGTCTCTAACGTCGACTCTCTTGCTCCTTTGATGCTGCCTGACCTGTTGTGTGCCTCCAGCTTCACACTGTATTGACAAATGAATTAATGGTATGTTTTGATCATGAAATGTTACTCATTGAATCACAACAATGTGGAAGCAGGCCATTTGGCCTGTCGAGTCTAGAGCGACACACCTCGTCCCTGTAACCCAGCATTTACCATGGTAAATCCACTTAGCCTGCACATCCCTAGACACAATTGGCAATTTAACGTGGCTAATCCACCTAACCTGCAAATCTTTGCACTGTGGGAGGAAACCAACGCAGACACGGGGAGAATGTGCAAACTCCACATGCACAGTTGCCTGAGGGTGGAATTGAACTCGGGTCATTTCTGATGAAGGGTCTAGGCCCGAAACGTCAGCCTTTCTGCTCCTATGATGCTGCTTGGCCTGCTGTGTTCATCCAGCTCTGCACCTTGTTGTTCCTGACACTGTCAGTCAGCAGTGCTAACCACTGAGCCACCATGCTGCCCTAACTTACTTTTAGATTTTATTATGAAAATACTGTATATAACATAATTGTGGAAGGGTGAACATTGAAGCTCACAGAATGGGAGGTCAGTGTTAATTTGGATTGAAGAGAAAATGGTTAATTTTTAGGCTGGAGTTTTGGAAGAGTTGGAATACACTGTAAAAGTTTAAAAATTGCCAAACATACCAAATCTGAAGGAGTAATATGCAGGATACAAATTGACTGACTGCAGCAGGATGTAGAAAAGCAAAATGAGGGCTTCAAAAATGGAGATGGTAAGTACAAAGTAGGAAAGTTGTGCTGAATCTTTACAAAGCTCTGGTTAGACCTCAATGAGAATATTCTATTCTGTCCTGGTCACCATGTCTTAGAAAGGAAGTAAAGGCCCTTGGGAGGTTGTGCAAGAGATTTATCTGGATGATTACAGCTGGGTAAAATTATATTCACAAAGTCAAATTTAATCTCTTTGAAGCAAAGAAAGTCAAGGTGAAATTTTTTAGAGATTTACAAAATTTTGACAGTTGCAGAACCTCCAGCTCCTCACTACAAGAACCTGTGAGGTTGTTGACTTGCTCGCTGAGCTGGCTTGTTTTTTGTTCAGACGTTTCAACACCATGCTAGGTAACATCAAGAGTGAGGCCTCCGATGAAGTGATGTTGTTCTACTCCGCTTGGAATTTATACTATCTGGTCTGTTATGGTGAGTTGTGTCATTCCGGTTTTGTTCTGTATGGGTTTGTATATGGGGTCCAATTCTATATGTTTGTTGTTTGCATTATGGGTTGAGAACCATGCCTTTAGAAATTCCTGTGCATGTCTATGTTTGATTTGGACTACTATGGTTACTGGGACAACCTTAGAAGAACCTGTTCCCATTGGTATGTTGACTTAAGGTCACAACCTTTTAAGGTTTTTGGGGGGGAAAGGTACAGAAGGAGTGTTTTGGTGTGGGGGGGGGGTGGTGTGAATGTTGTCTTTATGCAATGAGTGATAATTGACCTGGAACTGACTACCTTTGAGTGCAGTGGAAGTACAGATAATAAATGATTTCAACTGATAATTGGATGGGCACTTGCGAGAAATAAGCTTAGAGCCCAGTAGGGCTAGAGTAGGGGAATGAAACTGACTGGATCTCATTATGGAGACCTATCATAGATGCAGTCAGCTGATAAATGAGCCATAACTGACTGACTAATAAGTGCAGCATACCAGGTATTTTGAGAATATTTGCTCTTTGTTGAAATAGTTCACTGTTGTTGTCATTTAAAACCTTTTAAAACTCTTCAAGAATATGTCTTAAAATCAGGATTCTTATTATGTTGAATAGTAGAACAGAAATATGATTGCCCAAGAAGATATGAATGCAATAAGTATTCATGCTTTTAATCCTCTTGCATTGTGCTAATAGGTGTACCTTGGATTTGTTATGGGTATGCAATAAAAGGAATGTGGTTTCATGGTTTGACTGTTGATTAAACCACAAAATTCCTTTATAGTAACATATCTCATGACTAGCAAAGTAAACATTGTGTTTATAAATACTAAAAGATGTAATATTTTCATGCCATTTTATAAAATGTGTTTAAAGAAGCTTCATTCATTTTCTCAACCTGATTGATAATGGTGTGGAGGTGCTGGTTTTGGATTGGGGTAGACAACGTCACTGGTCACATGACACCAAGTTACAGTCCGCACAGGTTTATTTGAAATCACAGGCTTTCGGAGCATAGGGCAGAGAGATCAAAAGACCATCCAAATAGTGTGAGGTGGAGTGCCAAATAATAAATCCTTGCAAATCCAAAGTGTTAGACAGTAAGTAAAGTGTCAACAGTTGAATAACAAGTGAAGGGATAACCTATAATCTGATTAAATAAGGCAGAGAGATAATTATAAAAATAAGGTGATGCTCGAGACAGACGAAATGACTGGAATGACATGATAGGTATGAGAATTGCATAGTTTAACCAAAGCCATAAGTAATCCAAAACTGTACAAACCTAGTTAAGGTAGAGAGATCATAACAATTTATCCAGGTGATGGTGACAAAACAGGATAGTAAGGAAGAGGTAGTAAACTGCCGCTGCTGGAGTCAGAGATAGCACAGCGGGCTAGGCAGCATCAGAGGAGCAGGAAAGCTGATGTTTCAGGTCGGCACCCTTCTTCAGAAATGGGGAAGGGGGAAAGGAGCTCAGAAATAAATAGAAAGAGGAGGGGTGGGGCTGGGGAAGATAGGTGGGATGGTGATAGGTGAGTGCATGTAGGCAGTGGTGAGGATTGGTCAGTGAGGTGGGAGGAGCAAATAGGTGAGAGAGAAGATAGACAGGTTATGTCAGGTCAAGGAGGCGGGGATGAGGCCAGTGGTGGGGAGATTTTGAAACTGGTTAAAGTCCACATTGAGACCATTGGGTTGTTGGCTCCCAAGGCGGAATACGAGGTGCTGCTCCTCCGGTTTCCGGGTGGCGGCGTCGTGACACTGGAGGAGGCCCAGGATGGACATGTCGCCAGGGAGTGGGAGGGGGAGTTAAAATGGTTCGCGACTGGAAAGTGTTGTCATTTGTTGCGAACAGAGCGCAGGTGCTCTACAAAGCAGTCTCTGAGCCTCCGTTTGGTTTCACCGATGCAGAGGAGGCCACATTGGGAGCAGTGGATGCAGTAGACCACATTCGCAGATGTGCAGGTGTGGAAGGTTTTTCTTGGTTCCTTGGATGGAGGTGAGGGGTGAGGTGTAGGGGCAGGTGTAGCACTTCCTGCGGTTGCAGGGAAAGGTGGTGGGGCTAGTGGGGAGCTTGGAGCAGACAAGGGAGTCATGGAGAGCGCAGTCCCTACAGAAGGCAGATAGGGGTGGGGAAGGAAGTATGTCCTTGGTTGTGGGTTCAGATTGCAGGTAGCGGAAGTGGCGAAGACAGATACGTTCCTCAGTTCTGTGGAACGGTTGCCAGACCCAAAACGTAAGCTGATTTTTTTTTTCTTCACAGATACTACCAGACCTGCTGAGCTTTTCCAGCAACTTCATGTTTTTGTTCCTGTTGGATTATAACCTGGTGTCGTGTGACTACTGATTGATAATAGAACGTTATCAGTTATGTCTATAAGGATGAAATGACATTTGTTTTGCCTCGAATGCACAAAACAACCCTAGATGCTTACGAGGAATTAAAGAGTATAGTCACTGATCCATGAGAAAAGGGATTAGGAGAGATAGGTGTGAGAAGGAATACAAGAGTAGATGAAGTTGAAAAGCGAGGTGATGAAGCCCTGGTGCTCTGGCAGTCGAGAATGGGGAGGTGAGTTAAATTTGTTATGGGGCAAACCAGACCCCTCAAAGTATTTTAAAGTAGGTAGCCTAGACCCTAACTTTTTTTATTTTAAAAGTAGATGTGAAGTGTGTGTTTCAGATGTGCTGTGACTGGTCAAACTACTCTGTTAAGCAAAACATAATTTATTTAAACAACACAGTTAAAACACAAACAAAAGGAAGAGGAATTTAGAATAA